TATGTGCCTTGGATGGAGGGAGAGAAAGATACCACAAATACTGGAGGAGGCTCCCAAAGAAATCTGCCCCAGATAGTTCTTCCCCAACTGTGTGAGTGACTGGTAGACAGAGAAACCAAATTCATAATAAAGTATTTTGGAAAAGACTGTGTCTTGTGTGTTCTACCTTCCTTCCCCTTGGTGATTCAAAAAGAACTTTAGCATAGAAAGTGTTTCCAGAACTACAGCATTAAATAAACCTGCTTAAATGGATGCAGTCAGTGTATTTTGACAATGGAACCCTTTGTCTGAGTTATAGGCAGAAGTTCTGTCCCAGGATTACAGTTTGAATAACAATGTTATTTAGGGAAAAAAGGGCATGATAGGAATATGAATCTTTCTTGTCACTTGAGGTAAAATAAACTGAGCTTCGAGAAGTGATAGAAAGAAGCTTTGCTACTTAAAAAATATGAACCAGCAACAAACAGAATGGGAAAAATTTTTGCAATCTTCTCATCTGACAAAGGGCTAATATCCAGAATTTATGAAGAACTAAAGCATATTTATAAGAAACAAACAAACAAACTCATTAAAAAGTGGGTGAAGGATATGAACAAATACTTTTCAAAAGAAGACATATATGAGGCCAACAAATACATGAAAAAATGCTCATCATCGTTGGTCATTAGAGAAATGCAAATAAAAACCACATTGAGATATCATCTCATACCAGTTAGAGTGGCGATCCTTAAAAAATCTGGAGGCAACAGATGCTGGAGAGGATGTGGAGAAATAGGAACTCTTTTACACTGTTGGTGGGAGTGTAAATTCCTCAAGGATCTAGAAATAGAAATACCATTACTGGGTATATACCCAAAGGATTATAAATCATTCTATTATAAAGACACATGCAGATGTATGTTCATAGTGGTACTGTTTACAATAGCAAAGACTTGGAACAACCCAAATGCCCATCAATGATAGACTGGACAGGGAAAATGTGGTGCATATACACCATGGAACACTATGCAGCCATAAAAAATGATGAGTTTGTGTCCTTTGTAGGGACATGATGAACCTGGAAACCATCATTCTCAGCAAACTGACACAAGAACAGAAAGTCAAACACTACATGTTCTCACTCATAGGTGGGTGTTGAACAATGAGAGCACGTGGACACAGGGAGGGGAGCATCACATACTGGGGTCTGTTGGGAGGAAATAGGGGAGGGACAGTTGGGGGTGGGGAGTTGGAAAGAGATTGCATGGGGAGAAATGCAAGATATAGATGATGGGTAGGAAAGCAGCAAATCACACTGCTATGTGTGTACGCACCTCTGCAACAATCTTGCATGTTCTTCACATGTACCCCAAAACTTAAAATGCAATAAAAAAAAGAAAAAAATTCAAATCACATGTGGTCTACTTTATGCAAACTTGTATTCTTAGTTTTGTGAACAAAATTTTGAATGAAATACAATTTAAAAAAAATTCAGATCACATATGTTCTACTTTATGCAAACTTGAATTCTTAGTTTTGAGAACAAAAGTTTGAATGAAAAACAAAAAATTTGAATGAAATACATTACAAATCAGTAGATGAGAGAAACTTCACCAAAGTAAAGGTGTTTATCCTTTTAAAGTTCACAGCAGATTTAGGGCTACAGCAAGTGCTCTTTTTCGTATTTCTCACCATTTATGTCATAAGTCTCTCAGACAACATCATTCTGATTTCTCTCATCTGTGCTGATTTTTGGCTCCACACACCCATGTATTTCTTCATTGGAAACCTATTGCTTCAGAATCCCTGCTATTTTTCTATGTCCCCCAAATCCTGATGACCTGCATCTCTGATGACAAAATCATCACCTTTGCTGGTTGCCTGGCTCAGTTCTTTGCTGAGCTGGCCTATAGTGAGTGCTACCTGCTGGGTGCCACGGCTTATGACTACTGTGTGATAATCTCCAAGCCCCTGCTTTATTCTCAGGCCATGTCCCCAAAGTCTTGTCGTTTGTTACCTTGATAGCTTTGTAAACTCAACCGTCATCACCAGTGAGATATCCCTGAGCTTCTGTGCAGCAATATCATTGATGATTTCTTCTGTGATCTGCCCCCACTTGTATAGTTGAAGTGTGATGTGAAGGAGAGATATCAAGCTGTGCTGCATTTTATACTTGCCTTTAATGTCATAATTTCTACTGTACTTATTCTTGCATCCATCTCTTCATCATTGCAGCCATCTAGAAGATTCCTTCCACCGAGGGCTGCCTCTAGGCCTTCTCCATTTGTGGGTCTCACCTGAGAGTTGTCACATGGTATTATGGTACAATCTTCTTCATTTACTTCTGACCAAGCACTAGCTTTGACCTAGAAATAGATGAAGTGGGGGTAGGGTTCTATACTCTGGTGATTCCAATGCTAAACCCTTTGATTTATAGCTTAAGAATTAAGGATGTCAAAGGTACCTTGAAGAAAATGTTAGTCTTAAGTTTCTTAAATAAAAATAGCTGGTAAATAATTTTTTAACAGAATATCTCCATATCATTGTTTTTGGTTTATTTATACTCTCAGAAATAAATGAAAGATAAAATAATTTTATAACTTGGAAACAGAAGTCTGCATTTGTGTTTTTAAGTTGGAACTAAGATATTTGAATGTATTTTTTTTAAATAAATGAGGCTGGGGCATTTGCAAAACCTACTATGCATAGTAGTGTGGAATGGAGTCTATAAAATTGTTAGGAGTCTGAGAAGATTGAAAGAAAGGAGATTAAATGTGTTTTTTTTAAATCGACATTTCATAAGCTGCCTATATCTATAGTATTTTAAACAATAAATCAGAATAATATGGCTTGTTATGTAACCATTATCGGGATTAAATAGATTATATGATTTACCTGAAATTATAAATTTCATTGGTGAGAAAACAGAATGCAAACTCAGAACTTACAAAAAAAAAAACAAGAAAAACAAAAAACAAAGGTATTTATCTCACCTGTTAGGTGAGAGAGTGAGTTAGAAAGTCTCACACAAAAAGTATATACCGTATGCATTAGCTATTTTTCCTGATGTACTCCCCTCCTTGCCCTCCCCCTACATGCCCCAGTGTGTTTTCTTCCCCTCCCTCTGTCCACGTGTTTTCATTGTTCAGCTCCCACTTATAAGTGAGAACATGTGGTGTTTGGTTTACTATTCCTGCATTAGTTTTCTGAGGATAATGGCTTCCAGTTTCATCTATGTCCCTGCAAAGAATATGATCTTGTTCCTTTTTATGGCTGCATAGTATTCCATGGTGTATATGTATACCTAGGTGATGGGTTGCTAGGTGCAACCCATCGCGCCATTGCACTCCAGCCTGGGTGAAAAGAGCAAAACTCTGTCTCAACATTTACCTATGCAACAAACCTGCACCTCCTCCACATGTAGCCCAGATCTAAAAATAAATAAAATAAAATAAAAAAAGAGTATCCACTGTAAAATTCCTCTAGAAACAAGTTTTTTTTTCTTTCTGGTTTTCATTTTTTAGCTCGCCGTTATACAAAGATGACAGATTTCCTTAGCAATAGACAAAATAGACAACCAATATCAATACTGAGAATCACTGTGTACTTTCAACAAAAGTATTTTCCTCAACAATGAAAGAATTAAGGGCAGAAGTGGAGCAGTCATATGAGATAGACAGAAAGGAAGATGTAGGTAGGACACAGAAACAGATCGAGAACTAGGGCCAGAGAGAGATTTCAGAAAACGTTACATCCAAGGGAAGATTTAGAGTGAAAATCTTTACCAGGAAAACAGTGACTGATAAGAGTCAAGGATATGTGAATTTTTGTATGTTGTTTTTTAGTGTTATGTTATAAATGAATTAAAAATCAGAGACTATTTCACTGTGAAATATCAAATTTCCTAGTTTTAGTAGTCTTTTTACAAATAAAACATGAGGTTGTTCCAACATAAAAAGGCCCTCCTTCTGGAAATTCAGTGCATTAGTTTGCAAGTGTTGTGTAATAAAATAGCGTAGCCTAGGTGGTTTACAAAACAGAAATTTATTCTCCCGTAGTTCTGAGGGCTAAAAGCCCAAGTTGAAGGTACTGGCAGGATTCTGAGATCTCTCTCCTTGGCTCTCAGGTGACACATTTGCTGTGTTCGCATGTGGTTTTCTTTCTGTGCACTTAAATCCCTGGTCTGTGTCTATGCTCAACTTTCCTTTTTCATAAAGACACAGTTAGACTGGATTGAGCCTACTCCAACTGCTTCATTTGAACTTAGTCACCTCTTTAAAGGGCCCATCTTCAAACACTGTCAGATTCTAAGGTACTGTAAGTTAGGGCTGCAACATATGAATTTCCAGAATACACAATTCAGACCATACCCCAGGGAGAGGTAGTAGATTTCCAGTGGAGGAGACAAGGGTGGGTAGTCTGGACAGAGAAAAGAGCATATGATATGGAAAAAAATATAAGACCACATGATACTTTTTAGTACAATTTAAAAATTCAATTGGCTGGGTGCGGTGGCTCAAGCCTGTAATCCCAGCATTTTGGGAGGCCGAGGCGGGTGGATCACGAGGTCAAGAGATCGAGACCATTCTGGTCAACACGGTGAAACCCCGTCTCTACTAAAAATACAAAAAATTAGCTGGGCACGGTGGCGCGTGCCTGTAATCCCAGCTACTCAGGAGGCTGAGGCAGGAGAATTGCCTGAACCCAGGAGGCGGAGGTTGCGGTGAGCCGAGATCGTGCCATTGCACTCCAGCCTGGGTAACAAGAGCGAAACTCTGTCTCAAAAAAAAAAAAAAAAAAAAAAATTCAATTATAAGACACACTCAATATAACAGAATTATATTATGACTTAGATCCATTAAGAGAGTCAACTTTTAATGAAATATTTACTCATTTCATCATATCCTAATTTATTTAACATCCTTATACTCCCAATGAACTCTAATTGAGTCTTTGGAGACAGAGGCACATATTTCTGTGCTTCTGCGAGGGAGGTGTCTCAAAGGGCTATTGAGGAAATACATATACTGAGTGCAACAAAGGTACATCAAACACCAGAGGAGAGGGAAAAGTGTCACTCCAAGAGCTGGCCTTCCAAACCAAGGGTAAGTACCTGGGATCACCGGCAGCTAGGTAGTCTGGCCTCTCTGTGACCTCAGCTGCAAATCAGAAGGGGGATACAGAATCTGGCATGGCTCTGAAAGGATTGCTGCTGTGCCACACACGCACACAGGTGCACAAACACACACATGCAGCCTCCCTAGTAAATCAAAGTCCATTTAATGATACATCCTGCTCTCCCTTAGAATTTGAAGCACAGTCTTATATCTATGCTGAACCATTGTATATTCACTTACAAAGTGAACCAATCAAGAGGACAAAAGAATGTGACTTGCTTTTTGACTCCAGTGACTGTGCTACTCTAAACTGCTAATGCATGGCATTTTCACTTCTTGGCACTAATTTTCAGGTGCCAGAGAGGCACAATCCTTCCAAAGGATTTTTCTTGCTCCAGTGAAGGGAGCGGAGACCTGGGCTGCAGCAGGGAAGATGCATCTTGATAAGCCACTCCATAGGAGATTCTTTAGCATGTCTGGCTTGGGCATTTTCTGTGCCTTTTAGTTTACATTCAGAGATATTTGGTAATTTGTTTCAAATTCAAGATGAACTTGAGGTCTTGGAAGTGAGTCTTCTCTTTTATTTACTCTTCCTTTTATTATGATACAGTACACTGTGCTGGAAAAGTCTACTTGAGGATAAATTTTGATCTGAATATTTTGAACCAGCTTAGAAATAGGCAGAACTTTGTTAAACCAGCTTCAATATATGAAGGTAATTAACCAATTACTCATTAGGGAAATATTTACTGAGTGCTAATTTGTTAGTAGGAACTGTTCTTTGTGCTGGAATACAGCAAGAAACAGGACAGATAAACATTTTGCCCCATTCTGGTGGGGAGAAGCAGGCAATCGATTTAATAAGCAGGAGTTACAGGATGACAATAGATGCGGGGGATAACACAGAAGCATCGGAGTAGAGTAATAAGGATGAGAATTGTTGGAGGGAAAGGGGCATGGAATTTAAAAGGCATGGTTAGTCTGGACCTTTGTAAGAAAGTGACATTTGAAAGAAACTTAAGGAAGATGAATGAGTGAGCCATGCAAACACCTGGAGAATAGTGTTTCAGGCAGAGGGAATCTTTGATGCTGGGACGGAGACGGCACAGTTGAGAAAAAGTAAGAAAGCCATCAAGGCAGAAGGAAGGAGGAGGTGGTGAGTGTTAGGAAGTAAGGTTCTTTAGGCAAGACAGGGGCAGAGTTTTGAATAAATTGGGAGCCTTTACAGGGTTTTAAATATAGAAGCAACTTATTTATTTTGTTAATGGCCCATGCTGGTTGTTGTATTGAAAATATACCATAGGGGACAAGGATGTAGATGAGTTAGAAGGCAATGGCAATATTCTTGGCAATAGATCATGGAGGTTTGAACAAGGGTGGTAGCGGTGGAGGTGGAGAGAAGTGGTCAGGTTTGGGATACATTTTGAAGGTAGGAAAATAACAATTTTCTGAAAGATTGAAAAGTAGATAGGAAAGAAACAGAGTAAGGTTGATTCCAAATTTTTGACTTCAGACACTGGAATAGTAGAATTTTATTGACTAATATGGGGAATGAACAAATCAACTTTTGGAACTGAACATTAGGAGTTTAACTTTAAACATGGTTAGTTTTAAATACCTATTACTTTTCTCTTATTACAGAATATTAGCACCGGATAGAAACTTAGTCATCTTCCAGTGGTAGAATTTTTAAATCTGAAATCATAACTAGCAAATTAATAGATTTTTGTGTTTGTGAACTCATTGAAATTTTGGTGTTTTTACATATGTACATATAAATATTTGAGAGCTATCATTGCTAATTTTATCAAGTTCTCAAGGATTTTCATGAGCTCAGAAATTTAAGAGGCATTACTTATTTGCAGATAAAGAAATTAAGAAAAGCAATGGTTAGAAAATGTGCATCACATCATAGGTTAAATTTTAAGGAAACAAGAATGTGTATGCAAATCATGAGATGAAAGAAGGATGCAATTGTTTTCAGCAAATTTCATTTCTCACTCCAACCAAGACAGTGGTAATGTCCTGTGTATCCGAAGATATATGTGTGTATATATGTGTGTCAGTCTGCTCCGCTACACTGTATTGCAGCAAGTGACACTATGTACTATTTCATGAAAGTTTTTCTTTCTTTCTTTCTTTTTTTTTTTGAGACAGAGCATCTCTCTGTCACACATACTAGAGTGCAATGGTGTGATCTCAGCTCACTGCAACCTCTGCCTCCTGGGTTCAAACACTTCTTGTGCCTCAGCCTTCTGAGTAGCTGGGATTATAGGCATGTGTTACCATGCCTGGCTAATTTTTAGTAGAGACAGGATTTTGCTATGTTGGCCAGGCTGGTCCTGAATGCCTGGCTTCAAGTAATCTGCCTGCCTCAGCCTCCCAAAGTGCTGGGATTGCAGGCGTGGACCATGCCTGGCCCATGACAATTTCTATAAGAGATTTTAACAAACTGGAGTCATAGAAATTTGGTGCTTGGAATAGTAGCAACTAAAATTTTCAGATGGGTGAACTGTGTTCCTGAGATGAGGAATTACTTTCCTAAGTCAGACAGGTGATTAGTGTCATGGATATGTACCAATTATTGGACCCCACAATCCTAAACCCTATAATGCCTTTGTGAAATTACATGGGAGTAGTTTACAAAAACATTAAATTCTAGGATCTTAGCCAGATACGGAATGATACCATCATTCTGGCTTAAATTGCTTATTTATAGAAACTTGACCTTATTTATTATTTATTTATGTTTTACAAGCTCAGACTTTAGAAATAAGTTGGATAATTATCCTCTCACTCAGAATAATGATAGTTACAATTTTATACATTAATTTTCTGTCCAGAAAATGGGCTTTTTTTCTTAACATGGATGTTCTCTTACTGTTTTGGAGGTAAATACAAGTATGTTGAAGATTGTTAAGATACTTTTCCAAGATTACAGAACTAAAAAGAGAGATCTGATTTTAAACTCAGACTTCATATCACTTGGGAAATTCTGCCTATGCCAAGCCTGTCTTTTCTCAGCTGGGCTTGCTCATATGTCTGTGGGTAACTCTTAGCTCCACTGTAGGCTGAATCATATAGAAGAGTCCCACTTGCAGGTTTGGGGGACTGCTTGCAGTCAGCTGGGGTGACAGAGAGCGCACAGTCAGATGTCTTATCCAGCAAACTCACCCAGGCTTTTTTACATGGTGGTTGTAGAATTCTAAAAGTGAGAAGAGAAGCATAAAAAGCCTCTTGAAATCCAGGCTTTGAATCCATACGGAGCCGCCTATCTTTCAATCTATTGGCCAAAGCAAACCACCAAGCATCCAAGTCTCAAGGGGTTAAGTATAAGAGTTAGAATAGTATCTGGTACATTGTCAGTAATGTATTTATATTTGTGCTAATAGCAGAGTTAGTACAGTATGTTGGCATTTGTATACCTACCACCAAAATACTTGACACATAAGAAGTTTTCAATAACCTATGGAAACACAGTGAAATTTTTTGAGTGCCCACTAATGTACCCAATATTGGCAATTTTGGGTACATATTGTGCCAATATTGGGTACATTAGTGGGGTTTGGTTATTTTTAGGTAAGTTTTCTTTATTCAACCAGACAGTCTGTCAAGAAGTTATTAGTTGCTGGACACGGTAGCTCACGCCTGTAATCCTAGCACTTTGGAAGGTTGAGGCAGGTGGATCACCTGAGGTCAGGAGTTTGAAATCAGCCTGGCCAAGATGGTGAAACCCTGTCTCTATTAAAAATACAAAAATTAGCTGGGTGTGATGGTGCGCACCTGTAATTCCAGCTACTCAGTAGGCTGAGGCAGGAGAATTGCTTGAACCTAGGAGACAGGTTGCAGTGAGTGGAGATCACCCCATTGTACTCCAGCCTAGGTGGTAGAGTGAGGCTCCATCTCAAAAAAAAAGAGATTATTAGTTATTAGACATCTTTTTGAGCTTCATTTTTCTCAAGATTTATGAGAATATGGGACTTGCCCTGTGATAAATAGTTAATAAGTAAAATTCCTAATTTTCAAATTATTTCTGAATCCAATTCCAGTAATGAACTGAAGTCCTATAATTCTAGATAGTAAGGGAGAAAAATCCACAAGCTTCTTAGTAATTGTCAATTTAATTGATAACCTTGTTAACTTCTGTCAATAGAAAAATCACTAAATGATACTTCTCCCTTCTCATGAAAGTCAGGCTTTCACCTCTGTGGACATGGAAGTAGGAAATTGCACCATCCTGACCGAATTCATCTTGTTGGGTTTCTCAGCAGACCCACAGTGGCAGCTGATTCTCTTTGGAGTGTTTCTGATGCTCTATTTGGTAACCTTGTCAGGAAACATGACCTTGGTTATCTTAATCCGAATCGATCCCCGCTTGCATACGCCTATGTACTTTTTCATTGGCAACCTGTCTTTTTTGGATTTCTGGTATACGTCTGTGTACACTCCTAAAATACTGGCCAGTTGTGTCTCAAAAGATAAGCGCATTTCCTTGGCTGGATGTGGGGCTCAGCTGTTTTTTTCCTGCGTTGTAGCCTACACTGAATGCTATCTCCTGGCAGCCATGGCTTACGACCGCCATGCAGCAATTTGTAACCCATTGCTTTATTCAGGTACCATGTCCACTGCCCTCTGTACTGGGCTTGTTGCTGGCTCCTACGTAGGAGGATTTTTGAATGCCATAGCTCATACTGCCAATACCTTTCGCCTACGTTTCTGTGGTAAAAATATCATTGACCACTTTTTCTGTGATGCACCACCATTGGTAAAAATGTCCTGTACAGACACGAGGGTCTATGAGAAAGTCCTCCTTGGTGTGGTGGGCTTCACAGTCCTCTCCAGCATTCTTGCTATCCTGATTTCCTATGTCAACATCCTCCTGGCTATCCTGAGAATCCACTCAGCTTCAGGAAGACGCAAGGCGTTCTCCACCTGTGCTTCCCACCTCATCTCAGTCACGCTCTTCTATGGATCACTGTTGTTTATGTATTCAAGGCCTAGTTCCACCTACTCCCTAGAGAGGGACAAAGTAGCTGCGCTGTTCTACACTGTGATCAACCCACTGCTCAACCCGCTCATCTATAGCCTGAGAAACAAAGATGTCAAAGAGGCCTTCAGGAAAGCGATACAGACTATACGACCACAAACGTGAAGGTTATTCTCTTTGCAAATGCTGTTATTGAGTTTTTCAGATTATTGGTTTATAAATGTGTTCATATGCATTTCTGTAGTTCAATTAAAACCAATAAGTCACATCTAAAACATTAAAAAGATTGAGCAAATGACTCTTTAATCGTTATTAGTTTGTTGTGATGTAAACAAAACAAACTAATCTTTGAAACTTATAGTACTGGGTTGTTTGACATTCTGCAATATGGTATTTTGTCTCAGCAGTATTATATTTTTCATAGATTTCATTGTATTTGCTGCCTTTGGGAGATCTTGGGAACAAAACAAATTTTGTGGTTTAATGAATATATTTTGACTTTGAAGCTGGGTAAGCAAGCTTTACTAGGTGAGAAGAATATCTGAAATGGTGACACTTCTGGAAACATGCTCAAGATTTTAAAAATATTGAGAATTTTACAAATTATTGAAAATAATTTCCTCAAAATTTCTTCAGAAAGATCTAATTGAGCATATAGGCAATATCCTTGTAAACCTCATGCTTTATACATAAATAAAATATTAGGAAAATGTTTAAGAGTTGTTTAGAATACAAACAACAATGACAATAAAACTATTTCTAAATTTATGAATAAATATGTGTCTTTAGAATTGCACACCATCTTAAAAGAGTGTTGTCTCTTACATGGAGTGAGTACTCCACAGTGCTCTCTCTCAGATCACACAGTGATGTAACAACACCAAAATGAAACATATGAACAACAACAGTTACCAGTGTTCCCTAGTTTGCTTTCTTTTTCCTTTGTCTTGATCAAGAAACATAAGTTGGATGTTTTTCCCTGCCCTGGACCAAGCCTGGGCCTTGAATATTCAAAAGAACTGATAAACTTGTTTAGGTTGATGTCTGAAACCCGGAAAAATCAAACATGTTGCTAACCACATGGAAACTAGTCCTGACTGTGAGCCCAATTCCTTAAACCCTTATGCAAACTCCATAACTGAACCCCTTGGATGGCAGGTTGGGTTGATATTTTATTTAGGAGCCTTTAGAAGACTGCAAGTTAAGGAATATTGGTAACATTTTTCAAATCAGAAGCTTGCAGCTCAGAGGTTAGCACCTGGTTAATGAAAGGTTATAGCATTTGATTTAATGAGCATATTTACAAAATTAATTAAAATTTAAAAATTTATGACAAATAGTTGTAGCCATTTCATCTGTCTTTGCTTTGACATTTCTCATCTTTCTGTTCAGCTGCATTTATTTTCTAACATGTCCTACCTCTTTCCTACAAAATAATCTTAACATTCTTTATGCCTCTATCACAAAGGAAGCTTTTTGAGTACTTGACTAGAAGGATTTGGGGTGTATTCCCCAAATATCAATGATCCATATTATGTTTTCTTTTCATCTCCATAATACTCACTATGTGGGAAAAACATTAGGGGAAAAACAAAGTAAAATATAATTTTACTTTAGGATGCCAGAAGTATTACTCTTTCATTTTGCATTAATCGAAGATACTGATTTTTAAAACTGTATTAATATCGAATGGAATCTACAATTCTGTAGTATGTATTATAGTCTAATCTCAAAATCAAAACAAACAGACAAAAAATGCAAAGAAACAAAATTTTTCCTGTTGAATTTTGTTCAGTGGTAAAAAAGATACAAAAATCCAGTTCCGCAACCTCTCTGAGTGGCTTGTTATCACTTAGCACTGATTTGAGAACTTCATGTCAATTCAGACTTTGGATTATGCTGACTTAAAGATTTTTTCAGAGCTTCTTTCACATCTTTATTTCTCAGACTGTAGATCAAGGGGTTCAACATGGGGAACAGCACCGTATAAAAGGTAGAAACTATTTTGTCCCTCTCGAGGGAGTAGCTGGAACTTGGCCTAGAGTAGATGTAAAGAATGGAGCCATAGTATAAAGTAACGGAGATCAGGTGGGAGGAGCATGTGGAGAAGGCTTTGAGGCGGCCGTGGGTGGAGCGTATCCTCAGTATGGTGGCGATGATGGAGAGGTAAGAGGCCAGGATGAACATTGTAGGGGAGATGACATTGGAGGCCAGCAGGAAGCACAGCACAGCCTGGTAGCTCTCTCTCACATTGCATGCCAGCTTCACCAGAGGTGGAACATCACAGAAAAAGTCATCAATAACATTGTCACCACAAAAATTCAGTGTGAATGTATTGCTGGTTAATATTATTGCATTGACAAAACCACCAGCATAGGAATATGAAACCAAACAGATACACAATCTCCTTGGCATGGCCTGAGCATAAAGCAGGGGCTTGGAGATGGCCATGTAGCGGTCATAAGCCATGGCAGCCAGCAGGTAGCACTCACTATAGGCCAGCCCAGCAGAGAAGAAGAACTGACACAGGCAGCCAGCAAAGGAGATGCTTTTGTCTTCAGAGATGCAGGTCACTAGGATCTTCGGGGTGTAGACAGAGGAGTACCAGAGATCCAGAAACGACAGATTTCCAATGAAAAAATACATGGGTGTATGGAGGCGGGAGTCATTACAGATCAACACCATGAGGGTGATATTTCCTACCACTGTCAGAGAGTACACGCCCAGGAACACCACAAACAGTCCCAGCTGCATCCCTGCATCTGTGGTGAAGCCCAGCAGGATGAACTCAGTCACTGTGTGATTGCTCCTCTCCATGGCTTAGGGATACTGCACCTACAAATAGAGTAGAAAAGAGTTTAATTGCCTCAACCAATACCAAATGACAGCATTTTCTATGCTAAGCACCTGACATGTAATCAACACTAAGGAAGAATTTTGGCTGCTTTGGGCAGGTGGTGGGAGTTTTCTGAGCTTCTCTATGTTTCTTGTGATAAAATGCATTTAATAACAGGAAAGCCTTAATGCTATTAATATGTTTATTAATTTTAATTGGAAAACAAAATTTTTATTGAGCCCCATGTGCTGTTCCAGACAGTGGGATATAGCAGTGAAGATGACAGGGTTCTAGAATAAAAGCTAGCCTACTGAGCTTTTATTCTAGAAGAGATAGATACGTAATAAACAAATAAGTACAGTGTCAGTTAAAGTTCAATGCTAATAAGAAAATAAAATTAGATGATGGGATAAAAACAAACTAGGAAGAGTTCATCAAATTTAGACCCTGGGAGAAAAAAAAATCCTTTTCGTATTCCCAGTTGTGAATGGGCAAATTGTTCAGTGCCTATGAGATTTGGGAAGATCCCTATGGTTTAGAAGATGGTAACAATGTATTTTTCTACAATCACAGAAAAAATTATCCTCTCAGTTACTCTGCAGGAGTCTTTGATACATTTATCTTAAATCTCAGGGAAGGAATCAGATTGAGAATCAAGGTGAAGCTTGGGTAAAGATGAATGAATTTATCTGTTTCTGCCAAGTAAAAAACGTGTGATGGTTTTGTGGTCTTTGGGGTATAAAATGTTGAGACTCAGCATTATTTCTCTGTCTCTATAGGTAGTCATGGACATAAAATGTGGCACATATACACCATGGAATACTATGCAGCCATAAAAAATGATGAGTTTCTGGGCCGGGCGCGGTGGCTCACGCCTGTAATCCCAGCACTTTGGGAGGCCGAGATGGGTGGATCACAAGGTCAAGAGATTGAGACCATCCAGGTCAACATGGTGAAACCCCGTCTCTACTAAAAATACAAAAAATTAGCTGGGCATGGTGGCGCATGCCTGTAATCCCAGCTACTCGGGAGGCTGAGGCAGGAGAATTGCCTGAGCCCAGGAGGCGGAGGTTGCGGTGAGCCGAGATCGCGCCATTGCACTCCAGCCTGGGTAACAAGAGCCGAAACTCCGTCTCAAAAAAAAAAAAAAAATGATGAGTTTCTGTCCTTTGTAGGAACATGGATGAACCTGGAAACTATCATTCTCAGCAAGCTGACACAAGAACAGAAAATCAAACACTGCATGTTCTCACTCATAGGCAGGTGTTGAACAATGAGAACACATGGACACAGGGAGGGGAGCATCACACTCTGGGGTCTGTGGGGGCAACTAGGAGAGGGACAGTGGGGGTTGGGGAGTTGGGAGGGATAACATGGGGAGAAATGCCAGATATAGGTGATGGGGAGGAAGGCAGCAAACCATATTGCCATGTATGTACCTATGCAGCAATTCTGCATGTTCTTCACATGTACCCCAAAACCTAAAACGCAATAAAAAAGTTATCCCAAGTTGATATTATCTACAGAAATAGTTCTGAATGCTATTAAATTGGAAAAATCTTCTTGTAAAACAAACATTTAGAAATACTTCCTTTAGAATCTTGAAATAATATGTATAGTTAATGTAACCTAAGTATAAACATATGTATGTATGTATATGTAAACTATCTCTAATGTAAAAGAGATACAAAAGAAAAATAATTCATAATACAATTATTACATGTAATAATTATAATATAGATTTATTATAAAATAATTTGAATTTCCATATATAAATGCTGGATCACTTGGTGAGATACAGAGAGTAAAATCAACACATATAGAATCATCATAAATGTGTTGTTGACTCAAATATCAGGAGTCACATTTACATTGGTGATATTTTTCTGACAAGTTGGTCAAGTTTTGACAAAGTTCCAAACAAAATATATGACGATCTTTCTTTGGTTTTATTAAATTATTATATAGAATAACCTTGCAAAATATAACTTTTCTTTGTAGAGTGGATTTCAAACTCATGTAATTGTAACAATCTTTCTAATGTACAATATGCATTGGGAGTCTGGATGTAAGAAATGGAACATTTTTCTTTGCATAGGGCTGTTTGTATAGATGCAGAATGTATTCATACTTGTCTACTACATATTAAATATCCAGCAGTCCTCTGATATTTGTGATCATAAAACATGCAACCACACACTTAAGAAATGCCCATCAATGATAGACTGCATAAAGAAAATGTGCCACATATACACCATAGAGTACTACGCAGCCATCAAAAAGAATGAGTTCATGTCCTTTTCAGGGACATTGATGAAACTGGAAGCCATCATTCTCAGCAAACTAACACATGAACAGAAAACCAAACACTGCATGTTCTCACTCATAAGTGGGAGTTGAATAATGAGAACACATGGACACAGGGAGGGGAACATCACACACTGGGGCCTGTCAGAAGGTGG